ACTTGGGCTTATTGTATTAAAAATGATCTTAATTTACTAGAACTAAATGAAAATATGACACTAAATAGGATGCAATGGAGAAAAAAGGATTCATGTAGCCGACCCCACGTAGTGGGATTAAGACTTTGTTGTTGTTGTTATTGTTGTATATCTTACCACTTTTAAAATGTTATATACTTATAACTATTTAAAAACTGTGATGCACATAAATGAACATGGGGATATTGACACATGACACTTCTATTTCTAAAAACATTGGACATGTAAAAGTATCATGTGCATACATAACATCCAATTCCTATGTATTTACATATCTAGCACCCAAACTTGATTTTTCTACTTTTATATCACCCAAATCTTTCATATCATCTCAAAAATATCTCTATTGTAATTTTTAAAAAGTGAAACAGATCTTTTCATACATATATAAGGTGTCATATATATAAAAAATTAAAGCTTAAGTGTTAGATATGTATATACATAAGAATTGAGCGGTATGTATGTACATCTTCTTAATATAAATAATAAAAAAGAATAAAATTAAATAAATAGGAATTTAACAACAAAAAAAAGATATAATAAGAAACTTCCTAGCATGAACCTTAAAAAATTCAAGAATTTAAAAATATTATTTAGTGTATATTATATAAAAAAAATTAAACAATATCTTATATTATATCAAGATAAATTTAATTTTTATATATAAAAAAAAAAGAATAATTCCTTAAAACTTCAATCTTAAAAATACACATATTTAAAGTGTCCGTCCATCATAAATAAAAGCTATTTTATACCTTTTGATCCAATTCCTCTAATCAACTTCGCAGACATCACCATCCATCATACCCCATGCAATATAAAGCTTACCTTACTCTTTGGAGTACGACAAATGAAACATGAATCTAATCATCCAATATAACAGATTTATAACTAATCAAAACAATGTCCTAAAAAAAAAAGGAATAATTAGACATGCTTTTTTTAGTTGCATTCACATTCACATTCCAAGTAATATATGAAGTATTATCATATATAAATATTGTGGCATTGCACACATCATTTCATATCGCTTGCAAACAAGTCAATAACCACATAAAGCATATATATCATAAAACAAATGTTTCAATAATAATATGATTTTATACAATTTTTTTTTTTTAACCGACGCACACACCTATATGTGTTAGGCCTTAAAGAACTGAGCCATTAACCCAAGTAGACTGTACACATTTTTGATACATCATATGTTATTACACAATTATATAACTGTCAACATTTATGGGTGTCAAGAGGTTTTGCCTGTAAGCTGAATATGATTGCAGCTCGTCTAAGTATGTGCTTGGGAAATATGTACAGAATATTTCTGCTATATCTTATATGGTAGAACTGACAATAAGGCTGCATAAGAATAAATCACTGTAGTGGAGAAGTAACAATTCCTCTCTAGAATCCAAATCAGCTCAAATCTTATAAAAGTGTATCCATCAGATTGAATTCAGATTGTAAGCTCCATGATAATTTATTTGAACTTGTGATGTTTAAGGTGTAGTTATAGAAGTGTCCGTCGCCTGTGATGATGTAAACACTTGACCTGCGATGGTTGGCATAGAGGATCAATCATGGTTGCAACATGACTTAGAATGTAATGATGGAATTAGGGGCGAAATCAGCCTCTTTTTTTAGAGTTGACAAACTTATTACTTAAATTAATATTAAAAAAAGAGATGCATAATTCAAATCAGTCTTATATTTCACTAAGATCCATGATTTAAATGATGATTACAAATTTTTCAAACTGTTTTGCATTTGTTTATTGATACTGTTGTGTAAAAAACTTCAATGGGAAACGAGGAAATAGATTTTTTTCATTAGTATTGGGAAATAAACTTATAGAAGGGCTAAATTCATAAAATAGAAAAGCCTTAAAATATTAAAAGAAAATTTAATTTCAAGATGGGCGAAATGCCCACCGTGAACTGAAAGTCAGTTCGCCCTGGAATTTTAGTCACATTATACCTGCATGCAGCCAGAAAGGCTACATGAAGTTCATTAATGTGCTTATAAGCAATATGAATGCATGAAACGCCATGAAATTCCAACCGTGCACAATATCAGCTAAAGCATACCCTCGGAGGTTAAGATTGACACATTTCGATTAAAAAATTTAAATCTGCGTTTGCTCCAAATTGGATTCAGGAATATGATGGAAATAGACAGAAAAAGGTTGCAAATAATGTAGAATAATCATGAAACATCATTATGTGAAATAATTAACTTTGGAAAACGATAAAAAAAGTAAACTGTTCATAAATTACTAACCGTATGATAGAATTTGTGGAGGTGCTTTGAACCTTGTCTGTGTTTGATACCGTTACATAGCTGGAACACAAGAAATTTGATGTAAATAGCATAGCATCACTGAGCAATGACGAGGGGTATGGGAATTATTCAAGCATAGAAATTATGATTATTGTAAAAGTTTATAATGAAAACTAAAGAGAATCTTCAACGGTGGTTGATTATTAAGACTACAAGGTAAACAGTTCACTAAATAAGGCCATGTAATCCTCACTTTTATAGTATTCTGCAAGAAAAAACAATGAGAGGAGGAATAGAAAACTAGGGTAACATCCAAGATTAAAAAAAAAGTATTTAGAGTGCTTGCATGTAGATTTATTCAACTTCTTTAAGGAAGAAGTTCAGAGCACATGCAGTATGTAACCACATTTTCTGTTAGCTAGATAAACTCATAGTTTTGTATACAACTCTAATTTTTTACGAAGTATAAATCTTCATGTATCTTATTTTGAACCTTAGTAAATTATTTTACATATATTTAGTCATTAAAGTAGATACTTAACCCGACTGACAAATTTTGGTGTTCGCTTTGGTGATACTTGATTTCTCTTTTACAATTACCTTATTATTCATCATACTTTCATTAGAATAAGGGTACTCTCTTCCCCACAAAAATAACCTGTTGCAGGTCTCTCGCACTTACATCCGGTGCACTTTCGTGATTCTTGATTTCTCCTTTACAATTCTTTTTTTGAAGTACCTAATTAGTGCTATGTTGACTGTTACCATCACATTTTAAAATTTGAACTTATTTGCTACATGGCATAATTGCAGAAATCAAATTGAAATTAGGGTATCTAGGTGAAATAACTTTAGCTTGAAATTGATCCTACAACAACCTCATCTACTAACTTAAGCTAAGAAGATTTAATAATTAGCGATCTAAGGCATGTAATTCATAAATTTTGGCTCAAAAGAAATTTCTCTTCCCAATTTCAATCTTATCAAGTTGGATGTGTGATTCCTTTCAAGTGTCTTACAAGTGTGATTAACTAATTCTGGGAAAGTAACCCCCTGCAATAGCATGGGACTAATTTTCTTTAGTTGGCAGTTCCATTTCTTGTTTATTTTTTCTATATAATTTGTTATTGGCTAATTTATTGCTCCTAATATTAGGCAAAAAAAAGGACATTAAAAAAAGATTTAGAGAAAAGTAATTCAATTGTTCATTGTTTTTATTTGTTTTTAAACACTTGTTGAAATTCTTGGAAATTTACAATCATTCCATTATCAATTGAACTGAAGGACTATTATCATCTGTTTTCATTAAAGAAAGAGAGTTTTTTGATTGATTGATAACTTATTATTCATAAATCCTCAATTTTTCTTTGCATAAAAGCACATTACTTATCATTCAGTTGCAATACCTTAATCCTGAGTGAACCTGCATCAAGAAGAGGGTGTATAAAATATTTAGTATAACATATTCAACTTCACCTTTTGACTCCTGCAACAGAAACATTATGAAGAACATGGTGATAGGATGACTCTAAAGCATCATTGATTGGTTCAGGGATCATTGATCCAAGCAGTTTATTTGGCCTTCTGTTTCTGTAACCATGAAAAACAATACACAGTCCAATATTTACAAACCAGTTACTTTAACAGATAATAACGAAGAAAAGTTTACTTGAGACCAGTTATATTTTCTAAATTCATTCCAAACCTTAGCTCAATAATAGGCCCAAGAGAAAATGCATGCAAAGATCCAGATAAGTTTGTAGCCACAAGAACATCTGGCAAGTCCACGGATGGTCCAAATGATAATGAGTAGATGGTTGACGGATATGACCCTCTACGCAAGCTATATGACTACATTGTTAATAATAGCAAGGGTTAAGAGCCCCAAATTTTAACAAACTTCATAGTTATGCCTAGGGGTGTAACTGAGCCAAGCCGACTCATTAGTCTGCTCGGGCTTGGCACGATAAGTGACTCGTGAACTAAGCTTGACGAGCTAACAAGACAAACTCAAGCTAGTCCGACTCAACTCATTAGCTCGTGAGTTGACTCATTCAAGAAATTAAATAATATAAAATATATTAAACTTGAAGTCTTTATATTTAAATAATAAAATATTAAAAAATATTTTTTTTTTATATTTTATATCAAGTTATTTCTTATTATCTTTTTTTTTTTTCTATTTGTCATTTTATTATAACACTAGTTTGAGATAATATTATTTTCTCTCTTTCACAATAAACAAGCCGGTACGTGAGCCGGCTCAAACTTGTAGAATTAACATCGAGCTCGAATTCGATTAATTAATCAAGCTCAAGCTCAAGCTGATGGTGGTTCGAGCTCGACTTAACACAATTACACCCCTACTTGTGCCTAATTTGTATTCAATGAACAAAAACCTTCTATTCACCTTAGTTGCTTGTGACACTAGATGCACTCTGATTATTGTTCCCTGCTCGGAAGCAGTTGCCAGATACATGCCATTTAAAGAGAATGCAATTGCAGCTAAAGGGGAACGATGAGCATCAATCTGTGAAAAATATTGGACAAAATAAAAATAATGAAAACGAAATGAATGTGTAAAAGTTGATTCATATTCAAAATTTGAGTAAATTAGTTGCCGTATCCTGAATTTTAAGATATATAACTGCCAGATGAATAAACTTCAATCTGTAAGTAGAATGTTCCTCTATTCCACAGGTCATAATTGCATATCAAATGCTCCTTCGTTATTCACATAAAATTAGTAATTGCTTGTACTAAAGTCTATAATTTGTTCCATTTCCATTTACAAAAGACTTTGATTAGAGCACCTCAGGTAAATATTTCAAAATAGTGTCTCTCTATCTGTTATAGTGCTGCATTTGACATGATTTTGTATGAGGGTTGGCATAATGTTGCTCCACCATTAATGCCAGAAACTTAAGTGTAGTTTTAATGATGTCCTAAAAAGACCAACATGTAGTGGATTCTATAATTCAGGTACAAGCAACTCACCCTTATATTTTATACCTTTAAAAGCATGCAATTAGTCGTTTATGGTTACCTCACTCAAAAGCAATACAAATTATCTTCTAAAAAACCGATAGCATATCAGCGGGGAAAGTAACACTGAAAACGAGTTGATTGGCAGTATGAAGGCTGCCAAGGTTATATTTTGAAGTTTAAAAATATCTTTAAAATAATGATGAATTTATTGGAATTCATTATTAGCTTGAATGTAATTAGAAATCAGTTATTGGTTTGAAAGTCTACGAACAATTAAAGCCCTCAAACAAGATAATTAGATTTTCACAATCAAAATAAGTGAAAAAGGAATTATCATTCTCTTAAACATGTTTATATCTATGATAGATCTCAAAATAAGCACACGTCCTTCAAACTAATCTCACTTAACAGCTGTAGAAAGGAGAATCACAATCAACCCAGAAAATTTTAAATTGCTGCAACAACTACTATGAAAGAAGGGTTTAAACTTCTTTCATTGGAAGAATGTCCATAAAAAATGTTTTCGGCAAATAACTTCATTCCAACCTTAAAGTGCATCAAAAGGTCATACAATTTCATAAAAGAAACTTCATTTAGGCGTCCGTAACCATTCAATAGAAGTTCCTTCCTCAACCAACTTATTTTATGCAGGTTTTCTCCAAGAATCAACAATAATATTTTCCATAACGTGAATCAACAATAACCTTTTCCATAACGTACAATTTCTCTCAGTGATATGACTAACTTTCCGATGAAATTAAAATTAGTATCATTAATCAAAAGATAATTGTGAAATGGTAGAGATTATATTTTGTAGAAAAAAAGGTTACAAAATGCATCTATTACCTGGCAAAGAGATTGAAGCTCCAACGTATTGTATACTAGAGCAGATCCTTTGGTCGTGCTTGCAGGAAGAGCTAAATAACATGCTTCTGAATTTGGAGCAAATGCAGAGAGTCCTGCAATTGCACTGTTAGAACTATATAGGATTCAAAGAATCAAGACTGTTTCAGAACTGGAATTCTCAAAATAAATACATCATTCCTGATTATAAACTTGATTTAGTAGTCTAGCAGGCATAAAACAGCCTCTAAAATATACAGAACATTAAAATGCCAATATAACAAATTGTGAATAGAAATTTTAAAAATATACAACTGAATCTTTCGCAAGAGTCATGCTCAAAAAACTTCATTTGTTTGGTACTCCAATCCCATAAAATCACTACATCATTTATCTTGTCAATTGGATTGTCCATTGCAGTACTAATTTTGCACACTTGATATCAGCCCATAAAAAAACAAAAAATTAAATGTCTAACTCAACATCGACAATGTTCGCCTCGACATTGACAATATTTATGAGGCATCGCCTTAACTGTAATTTATGAGGCATCACCTCGACATCTACAATGTTCACCGTGCTCCACTGCATTGATTGTGAAATTCATTTGTTGATACCTTTGATTTTACAAACGCATTAGTGTGATTTATTACGTGCATAAACAAGATTTTGAATGACTCCCACTACGATCAACATCTTTGAGCTCATCTTATTAGTTGTTCCATTTATATTTGTTCTTATTATCACACTTATTTGTGTTGATTCATGTTCCTTATATTAAAGTCAACTCACTTCTCCCCTCTGTTTTTTTTTTTTTAATCTTTCACATTTTTTATCATTGGTTCAAAGTGAGATTATATTTAGACATTTAGATCAATGTGACCTTTTTTACATATTTTACATTTTCAATTATGTGTGTAACATCCATAATGCTCAACTTTCAAGCTAGAATTTAGCGTAGTCCATAAGAATTTTTTCATGACTTGGATTCTATCATTTCATTATGCCTTCATCAAAGTTCGTAACTAGTTGTTTTGAATAAATAGCTTGTTTCATACGAATTTTGTGTGGTTATAGTATTATTTTTCATGAATTGGATTCTGTCTTTTTGTTAGGCCTTCAACAAATCATGAACTTGATGGTAGTTTTGTTCAATCAATAATTGCATGAAGGTTCACCTCCAAATTCTAACCTAGAATATTCAATAAATATCTAAACAAAAGATACTACGAGGGGCGCCCATAAACAAGTGAAATTTAATGATAGTCATAGACAATAATAACCTAAAAGTATGGGTTCTACAAGTACTAAACACAATAGTGGATTGGAAAAAAAGCTAATGACAAATTAAAAAAACACATGTTTAGCAGTCAGTATGAACTAGCTAAACATTTGAGCTCATATTTAATGGTAGAATGTTCAAACTCCTTCGTGACAAAAAATCTATTCCTATTGAATGGATCTTGCTTAAAAAGATATATATGTAAATAACATATTAGTTATATAAATTTGCTCTATTTAAACAACAAAGAAGAAAGTTTGCGGGCTGATCCTCGGCTCTTTTCGATCATCTTAAGAACAGTCCTTATGATTAAAACATTTCACAGTAGAAGCATTTGATTGAATCAAAAGAAAGGATTAGCCCTTGATAACAATGGAAAGTCGCAATAAAGCTTTTCAAAAAAAAAATAGTAATAATAAAGAAGAAAAGTTAAATGTCATCCCAACCTTTACTGTTCGACACGGTATCAATTGTATCGAGGATAGCAAGGCTGTTAACATCATAAATATATGTCTTTTCCTGCAACACAACAATAAGTCTGCAGAGATGTGACTAAAAATGATTCAAGCAGCAGAAATTTTATATTATATTGAGCATTTATCAATACTGCATATCACAGTAAGTTTTAAAACTAAATGTGGATTAATATTTTTATTTTTTTGTTTTTTGGAACTTAAATTTGCTGCTCAACTAAAACTTCCTTACAATCGAATGAACTGTGAATATAAACCAAAACTGTATGCGTTACTGTCAAAAGCTTTGTTGAATATAAAATTACAAAATAGGTATGAAAACCATAAAATATGTATGCGAATGAAAATTAAGAAATACCTATGATTTAGATCCTAATTTGCATGAATCATACGAATAATTTCTAGCAAATCAAATTAAAAAAGAAAAACAATAATACAAACATACCTTTTCCTATTTATACGAACTGCTAGGATTGAGGTCAAAAAATTCAGTTCTCGGAGCGCACTGCCAGTGACAAAGTTGAAGAGACAAAGACGACGAGGAGATAATGATGGCTGTTTAAGAAAAGTTAAAATGATATTAATTTTATGCAGCTTAACAGATCTCCATAAGAATAGAATAAAGGGGGTGATAGGGATCAAAGAATAGTTGGCTTAATAAAGAGAAATGTACAAAGGGTCAGAATAGGAAAAGGGAGTGCTAAGATTATTTTGATATCATTATTATCAATAGCCTTATCCCAGCTACTTGATATCCGCCTAATAAAAGTTCATCCTTCAAATGTTCCTACTAAAGGGAAAAAATTTGGGTGCGATAGACGCACGTAGCGCTGCGTACGATATTGAGGTTATACCGGGGGTACAAGGGGGTTATATCCGCGGTATAACCCCTTATAACCTCCATGTAATCTTCTGTAACTTATCTGTAACCTACTAATAAATTTTTAATATGTGATAACAGAAGCGCGAAACTTATTTTAGGTTACAGGTAGGTTACATAAGGTTACAGGGATGTTACAAGGGGTTATACCGCGAATGTACCCCCCTTATACCCTCGGTATAACCCCAATATCGTACACAGCGCTGCGTACGTCTATCGCATGCAAATTTTTTCCCCACTAAAGGGCTGTCTAATAACGGATTTAAAATTTTGCCAAACAGCAAAACTGCACTTTTAAATCCTGGATTTCATAAATCCAGTTTCTTCATAGTTTTCTTCTTAGTTTTGACTTAAATCCTGGATTTGCTTAATCCTTCTGTGGACAGGATTTAGTAAATCTGGATTTGCAGGATTTATAAAGCAGCTAAATCTGTTACCAAACAGCTTCTAAGTGTTGGATGAAGAAGGGGCTGTGGGAAAAGATAGGCGAAGAAAAAGGAGGGAGAGAAATAAACCTGTTCCCCTGCTCCAACTATAGCAATAAGGCTTGTGCTGAACAGCATTTCAACAATGCTAAATGCTCCAATAACTGTCATAACACTTATATTTGAGAATGTTATTCTTATTCAAGAAAGAAACTAGAATTCCTTATAATAATAATAAAAATCAGAACTTCACATCGACAAATCAAGTGGCATTCAATCAGGCATTAATACAATAGAGAATTTGTGAATCCATACAGCACCATAATCAATGTAAAATCATTTTAAACTGTTCATTTTATGAGATAGAAAACAAAATCCTTACATTCATATTTATACACCTTATAAAATCATGAGAGAAAAAATAGGATAGCTAGCTATCCTACGAAATCAGCTCGTTCTCGAAGAGCAGGTATAAGGTTTGAAGAAAAAAAAATCATCTCACCGGCCATCAGTTTCATTTACTTGCACAAAAATCAAAGCTCTTACCAGTTATCAGATAAACCTAATTGCAGGATTGGCGAATCAAAATTCTCTTGAAGGTCTAACCCATTCGCAATTAAAAAAAAAACAAATAAATAATTGAGCCGCGTGGTTGTTGAATACTCGGCCTATTCATTCGATAAATTTAGTGAGCCTGCATCATAACTTCACCATTTTGATTCTAGTTCTGTTAAATTACAATTCTTCGCACAAACACCAATCTTTACCAAACAATTTATAAAAGCGAGAAAGAAGGAAGCAGAGGCTGAGGGAGCTCACCTCTCTCGTAGCGTAGTCTTCCGCTCCGCGCATCGAAAAGCCTGAACCCATTCTTTGTGCCAATCGCAAAACAACTGGAGATGCACGGAGAACTCAAATTAGTCAGCAAAATCATGCAAATGGTCAGTTACGAAGGGGGATACGAAGCCCCAACCCTAATTGGGAAAGCAACCTGTTATCTTGGTTGAAGGAAGCGCAGAGAATCGGGGTGGCGGAGGAGTTGGCCATCGGAGATTGAATGTCGAAAACTATGATTGCCGTAGTTATAAGGGAGGAGATTAGGGTCGATTTAAATAGGGAAATATGGGCGCTGTCTCCCTCCCTCCCCCCCCCCCCCCCTCTGTGCGCAATTACATGTAGAACATACGGACATACTCCGTATTTCGGGAAACTTGTTATTTATAACTCACCGCTCTGCCATTGTAAAAATTATTTCATACTACAACTCCGTACTATCTCTACCGCTCATCAGTAAAAAAAATATATTTTGGTGGTTCTCATTTTTTTAATTTTTTAAGAGCCTACCTGATCAAAAAATATATTTTGGTAGGCTCTTAAAAAATTAAAAAAATGAGAACCACCAAAATATATTTTTTGATCAGATCGACGGTAAAGATCAGACGGCATATACATTTTTGCATACGTCGTCCGTATAAAATAATTTTTAGTGTAATTGATTTTTCAAATTATCCCTCAAATATCAAAATTCATGGTAAAATTCAAAGCTCAATTTTTCATTTTTATGAAATTCTCAATTATTTGATCATAACACTCTTAAATGCATCGCTTCGATAGTTCAAAAAAATCACATAAAAATTAATTTATAAATATCAATATTTGGAGTTGACTGAAATTATCACTGTATAGATATATATTGGCAGTCATACTTATTATTTATATAAATTTTTAAAAAAAAAATATGTGAATAATTCAAAATAAAATCTTGTATTTTATTACCATTGATGACTTAAAAATCATTATAAAATTTTCAATTTATTTTACATTTTTTTATTAGAATATTGAATAACCATTTATTTGAAAATCAAATCAAATATTTTTTTTTCTCAATATAAGATACAAGAGAGTCATTAGGTCATCACTCATTTTTAAAATGAAAGCATATTATTAGTCATTTTTTAGAATAAATGTACACTATCAACTATTTTTAAAATAAATTATTATTTATCATCAAATATGAATTATCTTTCTCTCAAATTAGTATCAATCCCCAAATTATGAAAAGCTTTCATTGAACAATAATAATTTTGTAAATAACAAGCTAAAAAAATTATTTTTAAATGTAAGAAAATATAAAAGAATACTGATAATTTACCTAAAGTTGTCATTTCTTTGCTTATTCATACTCTCTTATTAAGAATATTTCGTGCTAACTCAACTTAAAAAAGTGAATGCATAAATATAAAAGTCACATAGATACATGAATGAGAAGGCTCTATATGAAGTTGAGCTAAAGATTTCTACGAGTGAAATGTCAAGAGAGAATGGAACCTTCAGACGAGATGGGGACAAGTTCGATGTTTGCACAGGGGAGTGGGAGGTTACAATGGATGATTCCAAGATCTTCATGGTGAAGGGTGGGACACGACGACTTCAATGTGCTAGAGATAGATAAAGCAAGGGGTGTAACATGCCTTGATAGCAAAGTCGAGCTATAGAAGCATTCAAAAATCTACTCGTGTTTTAGCTCAATTAGAACTCGTTTACGGTTCATTTAATTAAGTAATTGAATGAGCTTGAATTATTTTTTTAAATATTTAGAACAAACTCGACAAGGTGCTCTGTATTAAGACTCTATTGCCAGGGTTTTGAACATTTTTGGGGGCCTGACCTCAAAGACTTGCTGAGAGAATGCATTCTAAGGTTGTTTTGTTGTCTCAATATGCCCCCGTCAACGTCAATACATCGATGCCGACCCAACACTATTAAAATATTATGAGTCGTCTTCTCTTTTCAAGGCCTATGGAGCACTTTGGTCTTTAGGTGCTCGCCCTTCCTCTCTGGGGCACTACTCTCTTCCTCGATCAACTCACTCCCGATGATATCTAACAGGTGATCCTTCAACTTTTTCTTTCTGCTTTATTGTGAGTTGTACAGGATATTCTTGGTATTCTACATATTTGAGTTTGTTGTTTTGTTGTTCATTAGCTTGGTCGGTTGAGCTCGTTTGGCCTTGGGGGTCTGTAGGAATGGTTTGGTCTGCTAAGTTCAATTGGTTTTGTCGATCGGTTGAGCTTGATTAGGTTTGAGTTGGTTGATCTGGTTCGGTTAATCGAGTTAGTCTGGCTCTTGACCTTTGATAATAGATGGGGGAGATTCAAGACAACCACGATATGATTGGAGAAGCCGAGCGGCAAGATCTTCTCTCGGGTCTACTTCTTAGTGATTGTTTGCTTAAATGCCTCTTTATCTCCTTTTTGACTAAATGACTTAGAATAAGATCATTTGATCATCTTTAGTGGCTTGATGACATTGTTGGCTTTGGCTCGGGTATCTTCACTCAATTGGACAAGTGTGCCTCATAGTCTTTTGTTGGTAAACCCTCTTTCATTATACTCTTCTCCTCTGGCTATTAGATCTTCTCAGGATTAGCATGGCACATTTTCAATCTACATTATACTTCCACTCTATTCTTTATTACTATTTGTTTTTTGTTTTTTATTTTTTTGCTAAATTGGATGAAATTCTATAACTCGTTGTTATGTTATATTACCAGAGAATTCTCAATTTAAAAAGGGAATTGTTTTGGATTTATAACATGATCTTGAAGAATCATTTTGAATACTTCTCTGGACAATTCAATACTGCATTGTTCTGAACGATTGGCACGAAAGTGCACCTTCTTTTCGATTATAGTACACATTTTTGTTAAGCCTAATTCGGCGAAAGATAACAATCTTCTTAGGAATCGAGAAAGCTATAAAACTAATAAATTCTGCAGCGGAGCCCACTCTCACTCCCTTTCTATTGAAACAAGAACCGAGCTCCATTCTTTTTTCACTCCTCCCTTCCTACTCAAAGTAAAACTCATTTAAAAGGAGACAGCTTCTTCCAAGATACTGAATGTTTTTTAATTATAGACTAAATTAATATTACAAATTTAGATTTATTCATATTTTACCTTTTTTAAAAAGTTAATAATCTTTAATCAGGGAAAAAAAATCACTAAATATTTGGCACCCAATTCTTTTGAATTTATATACATCAAACCTAAACTTTCATATTTACACACATATTGTGCACTATATGTAAATTTCTCATTTAAAACCCACGAATACATTCATTGTGAAGAAAAAAAATCAAAATTAAGACATTTATGTGGAGTTAACATAATAAATGCAATAGAAATTAAACATAAGCCAACATTTAAAAACTATCCTAAAAAACCCATGTCAACATTATCCAAAACCAAATCGTTCCATCCTATAACATAGATGCAAAAGTAAATATATGACAATGTTTTATAGACCTTTGCCCAATTTCTAAAACCTATTCCTTACATAATTGTCCAAAATTAAAAGAAAAAAAAAAAGAAGCAAACACACCAATTCTCCCTTCAATCTATATGCTCAAACCCCTCTACTTAAACCTATAAATATAAAATTTATATCTTCAATCTAAAGATTCCTCACTACCTTGGACCTGATAACTCCATCTCATCAACATCATCCACAGACGTAACATCAATATCTCCATAGTTATCTTCTCCATCCACCACAAACAGCATGCAGTTACTCAAGCCTTGAACGCCATGCTTTGCATCAGGATCCTGCTTCTGCCTGTTGGAAGCCTCCCATTTTTCCGCTAGCCCGTCGCCTTCGAGCATTCTCAGAACTTCCGACATCTTCGGCCGCTGGCCAGGGAGGTGTTGGGTGCACAGCAAGGCCACCTGAACCAGCTCCATCGCCTCGACCCGATGGAAGCTGTTGCCGAGGTCTCTGTCAAGAAGCAAGTCCAGCCTTCTCTCCTGTTGGACCTTCCTCACCTGCGGAATAAATGAAACAATTTTTCCTCCATGAATATAAAAATCAATATTTTGAAGGGGCTTTTAGGGCTGTCTTGGAAACAACTTTATGGTCCAATATTGGCAGAATTAAAGTAGAATGTTGTCATACGATCGCGAACAATAACAAGCCTTCATCCCACTAAGTGGGGTTGGATACATGAATCCTTTTTCTCCATTGCATCACATTGAGTGTTATATTTTCAGTTAATTCTAATAAATTAAGATCATTTTTTATATAATATGCTCAATTCTTTTTAAGTCTACGTCTGCCTTTTTAACATAAGTCGAATCTGAACATCTACATTTAATGTGACCAAACCATCTAAGACAAGTCTTTCTAACCTTCTCTACCACTGGAGCTACATTAATCCTATCACATATATATTCATTTCTTATTAACTCTAAAGTCTCAAACTACTCATCCATCTAAGCATTCTCATCTCAAAAACACTTTGTTATATGCTTCTCTTTTAAAGGCCAGCATTCTGCATCATAGAGTATTGCAGGTCTCACCATCATTTATAAAATTTTGCTTTCAATCTAAGAGATACTCTTCTATCACACAATAGACTTGATGTATTCCTCCACTTCAACCAACCAACTTAAATTCTACTAATAACATCCTCATCTATATCACAATCACTTTGAACAAAAGATCTCCATATATTTAAAATGTTCATTTTGGACAAAATAAATTTTGGGATGTGATAAATTCGAATTTCACTGTTAATTCCAGAATTAGTAAATCCTGCTAATCAGTGAATTTAACTTCGTGCATTTCGGATTTGAGGCAAAGCTCGATAACAGGCGTGAAATACCAAACAGTTCAATGGATTTACAAGATATGCTAAATCTGTTATAAATCCAATAAAACTGTTTGCCTGTAAATCTAGAAAATCGCAGCTTTGCGGCATCCTGGAATTTAACTGTTCAAAATGACTGTCTAGCAGAATTCCGCTTAAATCCGCTGTAAATCCAAACTTAACGCCGTTGCAAAACAGCCCCTTTGAGTTTCACCATTGATCCATGCATTAAATTTCATTTTTTTTTTTTTTTGTGAATTTTTTTTTTTTCATGTAATATGATGCTGCAAGCAACCAAATAAATTTAATGACCATAACAGAAACACTTTCATACCCAATCGAGGAGAGAGGCCTTCTGCGGTGGAGAAGAACGGCCCGCGAAGTCCAGTGACCGCCGGCCGGAGATGAGATCCAGTAGTAGAATACCGAATCCGAAGACATCAGTTTTGTCGGAGGACTGTCCCGTCGAGAGATACTCCGGCGCAATATGGCCGACGGTACCGCGGACGGCGGTGGTGACGTGAGAATCCGAATGGTCGAGCAATTTAGCGAGACCGAAGTCCCCGACGACAGCGTCGTCTAGGAGGACGTTGGCCGCCTTCACGTCGCGGTGAATGATCTTTGGATCGCATTGCTCGTGAAGATACGTGAGGCCTCGAGCGGCTCCGACGGCGATGCGCTTTCTTGCCGTCCAGTCTAGTGGAGGCTTGCCTGCAAATAGTTTAGGGTTGGCAACGGGGGACGATGACTACACGGTTAATTAAAAGCATATTTTAAAAAACGTGATTTTTTAGCTGAAAGAGAGGAAATTATAGAAATTTGTGGTGTTGCCATAATTCCACTAGAAATTACATAAAGGCAATTTTCTCATAACTAATGAGATAAATAAAAGGGGTTTTTATATATTGAATTCTCCAAACTCTGTAATCTATAGATAAAGGCACCCAAACATTTGATTTACTCCTCACGGTCTCCGTCTGTCTCTCGATAGAATGGTGTTAGAAGAAAGGTACCGCACTGCTGCTCCAAGAGTCAAATGCATTCTTCTCATCTTCTCCATCCTTGGATTGCTATAATCCCAATACCCGATCTTATCAGCGATATAAAGCTTCGATCCTTTGACGCAATCACACAATCCTTCTTCAGCAGCCCCGCTCAAAAGCTAGAAGGAGACAATGTTAGTGCCATTAAGCTTTTGTTGTTCGAAACATGCAAGTAACCCTGCTTCTCATTCATCGTCGACTCCTAGTTCAAATTCACCAATTCCGTCGCCTTCGTTTCTTCTCCTTGACATTTGTTGTTCAGTTTGTTTATGCTTTCCAAAATGACAAGCTCCGAGCTTTCCGAATCCATTGAGTCACCAGCCTCCCTTAGCAATTCAATAACAGCTTCTTCAGCTGGCTCTTAATCTTCATTGCCTCTCAATCCTTCAAGAATCCCTCAATCATCTCTAAAAGAGATTCAGAAATCTTGATCAAGCTCGATACTCTGGTCTGACCAGTGGGCCGGTTGAGCACGCTCTACCAGTGTTCAATTCGATCCACGAGAACAAAAGGCATTCAACTCTTGGAGCTAGCACCTTCCAATTGAGAGACAGTCGGAGTTCAAGGAGAGTAAATTAAAGGTTTGAGAACTTGTAAATTATAGAATTTGGGGACCTCTATATCTAAAAATGCCTAAATAAAAATATGGTGGAAAATTATTGTGTTCTCTAAATTTAACTAATTTTAAGAAACACATTACTGAATCAGGATTCAACAATACTAAAATTCATGCTTAATTTAACTTATTTTAAGAAACGCATTAATAATATAAAAATGAAAGATGATTGCGTAAATATTATTAAAATATTAAAAAAAATACTTTTTAACGGATAAATTACGACAAAAGCCACGTAGGTCGTGTAAGAACAAAATAGCAATCCCACTCCACCGATCTGAAACTGTCAAGCTACGGTGTGCCCCACACCACACCCGCGTGACAATTTTTTAGTATTTATCCTTAGGCTACACCGCAGGAACACATGGCGTACCTCGAAGTCTAACGGCGACGGAGCCGTTCGACATGAAAGGATAAACGAGGAGCCGCTCGCCGGCGGCGGCGCAATATCCAATGAGGCGGAGCAGATTACGGTGAACGGCAAGGCTTATCATTTCTACCTCCGTTTTGAACTGCGCCTCACCGGCGGCACCACCGCCGTCTCTCAGCCGCTTGACCGCGACCAACGTGCCGTCATCGAGGCGTCCGCGGTACACGTTACCGAATCCCCCTTTACCGAGTATGTTCTTTGCGCTGAAGTTATCGGTCGCCGCCTGGAGCTCCCGTAGCCTGAACCGCCGTAAGTTACCGATTCCGGCCACCACCGCCGCCTCGGCAGCAGCGTTCTGTTCCATCTCTGTGCAGTATGGAAATTGAAGTTGACGTAAAAGGATGAGTAAGTTGTTATGTTAATAAATAAAAAATGTTTCAAAGAAAAAAAAAACAGCATTTACATACATAACACACAATTCTGGAAATATGATACATGAAAAATTAATTAATGTTTCTATTATTATTATTATATATATTATAGAACATGCTGTCAACCCACCATTGAGAGTGAAGAGGTAACGCCGCCGGAGCCGCCTCCGCCTCCAGAACAAAAGGGCAAAGAAAAAAAGTAGGAGAGCGACGGCAGCACCAACGCCGGAGCCAACAACGATAGCGAGCTTCTCTGTCTTCAGTTCTCCTTCAACAAAAAAAAAACAAAATTCCATTTTTAAAACGAGAACTTACAATCTTCCTCGAGATTCTATCCGCAAAAAGGACAGAAGATCAACAAGAAAATAGAAATTACTGCGGTTTGATTCGAGAAGGAATGGAAGAGAAACAGGCGCCATCGTCCCATAGCAATCCGCCGCCAAATGGCCGCCGCCGCATATCAGAGGATTACCGACCACACTATGAAATAGAGAAACAAGTATTAGAAGATGATGTAACCTCGACGTAATGATCAGAAATGGAGGAAATCTCACTTGAATGTTCTCGCGGGGGAAGAAGGAACTGGGCCGCTTAGATTGTTGTAAGAGAAATCCCTGCAAGGAAAGCGGCGGATGTCATCTTCTACAATAGAACAGAGAGGCGCATAAGTGAGGCAGGAGTGAAAATTGTACAGGAATGATAGTTGAGGGAGTTTTGAGAGAGATGAAGGAAAAGCGCCAGTCAAGCTGTTGTTGTTGAGTCTCCTGCGGGATCAGCAGAGAAAGAAGAAGAGAGAGAATTAAAGAGCTTTTAATCTCTGATTAAAGCAGAAGAAAGCCCAAAATTGCAGTTATATGTTGTCTCCTGGCTTTTTAGGTTTCCGAGGATTAAAGTAAACGTCAATGATGGAAGATCACTCACAGATAGCGAAGGCTTGTAAGGCGACCGAATGAATCTGGTATGATGCCGGAGAAGTGGTTGCTCGAGAGGTCCATGGTCTGAAGCTTCGGAAGATGGCCTATCGCTGATGGGATCTCCCCTGTTATATTGTTGTTCTGCAACAATCTACATTACACGGATGGAAATATAAGCTCAAATGGCAGAAAACGCCAATCTGATTGTAGAAAATTGGAGACGAATTCTCACATTTGCTGCAGGTTAGTGAGGTTTCCAATGGCCGGAGACAGAGTTCCTGAAAGGCTCTGGCTTGGCGCTCCTCTGCAATTTGTAGACATTTTAGCGAGGAGACGAAGGAATATGGAGGGGAAATCAGAGAAGATAGAGTGAGAGAGAGAGAATTTACAGGCCAATGACGCGGTTCTCTGAAGAGCAAGTGATCATAGACCAGCTGCAGGGATCGACAGAGGTTTCATCCCATTTGCTTAATGTCCCATAGGGGTCATTGAGGAGATTTCTCATGGCAATAAGTGCTTGCACTGGAGACACAAAAAACAAAGAACAAAGAACAAAATCCTGTAAAAGAGAAATTAGGAATGGTGTTGAAGCAGGACTTCAGTATCAAAAGAAAGAATCGCCACCTTCCATATTAAGAGGCTCAGCGGAGAGGGAGAGCGTGGGGCAGGAGAGGAGGAAGAAGAAGAAGACAAGAAGTCTGGTAGGGTTACGAGAAGAAGCCATCGTGCTAACAGTTGCAAGGGTTCCAAGACTGAAGCTTTTGTTATATTGGAGGCAAAAGAAACCAAACTGAAGCAAGGGGTGGAGAGAGAGAAGGAAAAGCAATGATGGCAGATGGAGATTTCGCCATGGCATGCATGGCAGCATGGGAACGGCCGTGATGATGGCGATGGGGTTTATGGAGGATGTTGATGATGCATGGCATTGTACAGAGGAATTCGAAATCAAGGAACTGATTCTGGTGTCAGGTCCCTCAGAATTCGAGACAGGGTGGGGAGGAAGTGGAGAGAGAAAGAGTGAAAGTCGGAGAGAGGGAGAGAGAGAGAGAGAGAGGTTGGTGAGAGAAGAAAGTACTCACTGAAGAGGCGTGCCCACACTCACGCCATTGGCTTGGGCAGGAATGGGGGAGAGAAAGCAGAGAGAGTGGTGGGGAAAAAAAGATGGGGAAAACAAAAGAGAGAGAAAAAGAGAAAGGATATATTCTAGGTTGGCTGGGCAAAGAGGCTTAGTAAAGAAAGGGCTATAAATATATCTAATTTAAAGCTAAATTATAGATTATTGATTCCTATAATTTTTTGAGATATTTACATATATGATGCACAAAGCTTTTGTGATGATTATTGTATCATCAGATCAAAAAAATAATCTTTAAGGGTCTATTTTACATAGTTTAGTGACTGCTTTATGTTTTAGATTACTAACATAATTTTATTTTGAAAATTATTTTCATATTTGTTTTTTAAATTTTTTTGTGATTGAAAATTATTATTTTTAACCTGATACGTTAAATATTCATCATTGTGGTCGACACAGTACCACCACCGTCAAGATGTCTCTATTGTCGGAACACAGTTGCTCAATCACCACCTTCGACATCGTTGGGCCACAAATGTCTAATTGTCATTGCTATCGAATCACAACTGCCCGGGTGCCACTATCATCACTATTAGACTTTCACAATTGAACATCAACCATTGTTGGACTACTTTCTCACATCCAAAATGTGACATTTAGGTGTTGTAAATCTATGTATGAAAATGTGAATTTCACTTATAAGAAAGCTGATGGTAGTGAAGTGTTGGACATTAAAGATTTGGGTGTTATGTATGTCAATATTACAGCCTAAGTGTTGGAAATTTAAATATGTAAGAATTAAGTGCCATTTAAATAAATGCCCCCTATAACCTGTTAAATAAAAAGCAACTTACGATTCATTCATTTTCTTATAGAATAATATCAGTTAATCATTATGTCTGTTAAAGCTTCATTATAATATTCAATATCACCAAGATATTCTAAAGATTTTTTTTTTTTTTTTGGCTGAAGTTATTTTAAAATATAAAATAAAAAAGATGCACTAAATTTTAATTTGTTATAGTTATTTAGTTTAATGTTAAATAAATATAAAAAATTATTAACCTTATTTAATTTGTGAGAATATTGATGAGCATGACCAAAGAATATATAACATCTAAATGAACTAGCATAGATGATAAAAAGTGATTTTAACCATCATTCATAGAGACATTAAGTTAAAATGAGCACTGTAGACTTTAAGTCATTTAACTCATTTTGAAGCATGTCCTTATAATATTACTAAAACCATAACTCCAAAATCATTTTATAAATGTGAGTTCATTATAACTTATTAGATAGTTTAAAAAATCATTTCTCTAACTCTTGAATATATTTCTACTTTGATTATTACAGCTTTTGAATATTGAATTGTACTTTGGAAATACATGCCTCGAGAGTTAGAGACGGGAGAAGGAGTTGAGACAGAGGAAAAATGCCAGGGAATTAACAATCGAGAAGGCGGGGAAAATGTCCTCAGACCTTGGGTTTTTTTGTTCATCCTCGAGCCTTCTATTTATAGGAGGCCTTTATGTACAATTACAGAAGGAAGAGATCGATTATGGTAATACCCTCAATTACCAAAAGAAGAGAGCAATCATACAAAGAGCTTTCAATGCAATAATACGAGTGTAAGAGGTGGAGAAAAATACCTCAACCGACCTAAGTCTTTTTAAGCTAAACAGACGGGGCAACCCTCTACCTCCGCCGAAGAATGTCAGGATGATTTTAGCCATGTGGATTTCATTCGCTCACACTAGTCCATTTGCGGATTCCTCTGTCGAGGCCTTCCCTTGTCGCTGTGGGTGCGTTCCAAAGGCGGCAAACTCTTCAATTTTCCAGTCCCTGTTGACCTCACTTTTGGTTGAGGTCTAG